GAAGATGTGGTATGAGTGCCACTGAGTGCCAATGAGACAACTCTCCATCCAAGTCACAATTTGTAAAAGTTAACCATAATAGGTCAAAGTACGGCCTTCAACACGGAGCCTTGGCTCACACAATGGTATAAGACTCATAAAATAAAATTTGTAAATGTGTTTGTATGACAAATTTCTTCTATAGAACATGAAGTTGTGCACTTGCTAATTGTTTGTGTTATATACTGTAAGTGATTTTCACGGTGGTTTTATATCCCAAAACATGGACTTCATCATTTATGATTACATCAGTTTGTTAACTCTTGGAAAACGGTTTGACAGAATTCAAACAAACTTGCACAGGTTCTTCTACAATTCAGGAAGTTGTTCACTGATATTTTGATATTTGATCTGTATGATTTTAAGTTTTTTTCATATATTACATATCAAAACTTCGACTGCGCCATTTCTATCGTATCTCATTTGGAGACGCCAGGTTACACATGTTCTTTGCACGACTTACGACTTACACATGTTCTTTGCACGACTTACACATGTTCTTCTAGGATGACACGCTAGGCTGACCCGGATGCTTTACTTGCTAGTTCGCAAGGTACAGTCAACAGGAAGACATGTGAACCTATCGTGACATATTATCACCTAAATTTATCAAACCAACGTCCTCAAAACAAGCACATTACTACAAAATCACTGACTATCATACGTTTATACCCTAAATTTGAATCTCATAGATATATTTATTTATTAATTTATTCATTTAAATGTTTATCTTTTATTGATTCTTTCATGTAACCTTAAAGACACTTTTGATGTTTTTTTAGAGATTCACATGCTTAATGAATTTAAAACCCGCTTTTGGTGATGCCTAAAAAGGAAGGTTAATAAAGAGACCTTGAATTAGGGCTAACCATCAACCCTATCGAAATACCCAACTCACCAGCCAGTCAAATGACTTTTTGTTTATTTCTTTCTTTTTTCTGATGGTAAATAGTTCTTTGTAGATTCAAATTCTGTCCAAACCGAAGAAATTCAGTACCCACTTTTTGTATGATTTCAATGATACGTCTCAATCTAATTATTTGCTCTGGTTAGATGCTGCTCCATGGCGTCTCGCGTGTATTTTTTCCCGATTGTCTGGTATCGTGCGTACCTGACGATGGTTATTTCGGAAACACGAGTCGTATGCACAGAAATCAGTGTCACTCGTTGACGGCTTGTTTTCTAGTATTGACCTATATTCTTTGTGTACTTAACTTAACAACTCGTTCAACAATTACAAAAACACCAACAATGATCGATGGCTTGTGTATGAACAAGATAATTCGGTAACAGTTACACATTAGAAACAATCAAGTGAAATCCGATGAAAAGCTCTTAAAAATAATATATGATAATGCAATATTAATGGGGGATGTCATTTTACGACAACCTTCTCTAAAAATATAATCAAAATGAATTTAAATGGTAAATATTGGAAATTAACTACTATATTCAATTTCCTGCGTTAAATAAAGAATTGATTTTAGTATTGTAAATATGGTTTTCTCTTTTAAACCATATGGTATCGTTCAAATTACTATGTTTCACCCACGTTTTTAACGCAACTGCTGTTTTGTATTTGGATGTGGGGCGAGACTGACATTGACAGTTCGTGAAAAGGAGAAATTTTTAAATGCTTTGATATAATTACTGATTTGAATATTTCTTTAATTCAGGCTACCAACAGACACTTAATGAACCCAGTGATTTTAATAATAATTCTTTTTCATTTATAAACAACATATAATATGCAGAATAATCCCGACAAAAAAATTAAATAATTACATTTATTCCTCGTGTTGTATTCAATGTATAAAACCATGCAAGTATATAAAACATATACGAAGCTTACAGTCGGAATTGTTTCTTTACGTACCATGTATGAATATTTCCATTACGAGAAACACATACACGATAACAGAGATTAACATGTTAGCAGGAAACGACAACAATGTTCTATATAAAATAATTCTCGCAAGTTAATTTCCGAGTCCGTTCCGCTAATAGACAAGACAACCGTTATATATATATATATCAATTGCGTTTCCCGCAGATAATTACCTAATTATCTAACCTGATCCTAACCGGATATGATTGTCGATACCTGATATTCTAGGATATCGACATGTGGTCACCTAAAGGAAGAATTAGAGCATTGCAGATACAATCTTCGTATGAAGCAAATTCTAAATAAATATTGGCTGTGTGAGATTAATAAAGAGGATGGACGTAGAGCTTTGAACTGTAATATGATGAGAGATTAACCTTGCTAGAATCAGCATTATTCCCTATAAACAAAACATGATAATTCAATTATCAATTGTAGCCCATGCAATTTAACTTCAATATTGTTCTTATATTTTTTTATCTATTTATAAATTCATTTATTAATCGAATTTGGTTTTGTTTATTCTTCTTTTCAAGGCAATATACATGTGTGTGCATTATACAACAAACACAAAACATAAACTTCAAAATGCATAAAACTCTTTTAATGTTGTTGGTGGTTTTTTTTTTTTTCTAAACGTCAAGTGGCAAATATTTGATTCATATTGAGGATAAGAACAAGTTTAAACAAAACGAAAAACATGTAAATAAGTAGTATTGCAATGTGGTCGACAGGAACAAAAGACGGGAAATTTGAGACTGTCACCATGGTCACTGTTAATACTATAGTAGGATATGTCGGGTATATATATATATATATTTATTCAAGATAAAAAGGCATGAATTTGACAGATACAAAATATTACAAAGACATAGATACAGCACTAGACATAGTTTATAGACACTAAAATGATATACATGTTTACTAAAAATTTTAAATTAAGAAATAAAAAATAAAATTATGAAAATTTTCATGATATTTTGATAATATGATTAGACTAGATTAAAAATGAGTGAAATTTAACTTGACTAGATTTTACACTGTAGCCTAATATCTTAGGATGACCCACAAAAGTTAGTAAAACTTATTTCCAGTGGGGTCCTTTAAGGGGTAAGGACAAAAACTTTGCCAAGTGCAAAAGGTCACATCTTTCAACATCTTAATTGCGAACACGAAGCATTGGATATAACATGACTGTGTATCGATACATGATAAAAAAAAAAAATTGTTGGAAAAACAAATTTTAAATGTTATGTTCATATAAATGTGAATTATTTTGTAAATATGTGTCTCATAAGCCAACTCAATGGCTGGATATTGATTGTTTTAATGTATATTTTTATTATGCTATTGTATAATGTACAATCAATATGTGATACAATAATAAAATAAAATTTATTATTTATATGTCGCAAAACCACACAGGCGTCTGGCGGAAAAAGTACATGTGACCATATTTCTATACACCAGTCAACGCTTGTGGTCATATTATGCATGGATAAAGTATATATTAGAAGAACCAACTTCAGATATGGACCTTGCTAGTGACTGTACTGTATAGCCCCATACAGTTAGTCTAAGTTCGAATGGCATGTTTATATATATATGCATGATAAAAGACAAAATTCTTGATAATATTTCGAAGTTCTTTGCATGAATTATCGCTTAATTATTTATGAGAATTAAAATGAAACAAGTAATGACATTCATCTCCCATACACATATTTCTGAGAATTATGATTATCAATATATTGACAATATGTAATTCAAGAGGTTTCATAGTCCTCTGAGTCATCTCCAAAACCACATTCAGTGTGACGACATGACAATAGCGGCGACATCCTACCAGTGTCCAAATTAACGAGATTAAGCAACCAAAACAAACAAAATATTAAATTCAGACAATAAAAGTGAATTCCTTAGTGAATGTGTTTAGAATAATATGTTTGTATTAATTAAAACGTGTGAATGTATTTGCACATAGTGTCATTATAATTCTTCGTCCACAACTGGTCAACATCTGGCTGTAACAGCTTAATAATTATTGTCATCTCAAACAACATATATTCAGCATGCCAGTCAGTCAATGTATCGTCCCCTGGTGTCAGCTGTATTTAAGATATCACATTGCTATCTTACTTGCTGCTGACACGGACAGGACTGTAAACATGCTAAACCTTTTGGGAGAGACAACTGTATATATATCTTTTGTACAACTATATATAATTTCTTTTTTTTTCTCGATATATATTTATAAACTTAATGTCAGCCACATTTGTACTGTGTATTATAAAAGTTTAAGCTGCTTAAATTTTTTTTTAAGAAAGTTATATATCGCTTGATTTTATTGAATCTTATTTGTTTGTCTAGGTTCCTTTTTCAAACGGTCAATGGAACTGAGGACAAGGGACTCTTGATTAACTGAATATTATAAGATATTTTGTATATATGTTGTAATTTGTATTTTGTTTGTCACAAGCTTTATTTATATGCTTTACGACAATAAAGATTATTATTATTTGATTTCAAATTATAATGTTACTGTCATGTCAAATGTTTATGCTCTTCAGGGACCTTAATTGGAATGAAATAGTCTTCCTTTCTTCTTCAAATAGTATCCTATGAGAAAAAAATAGTAAACCCTTTATATGTCTAAGAAAAACGATTTACGTTGTGCAGTAAGATAGAGTTACGCAAAGTCAGTCTTGAATAAAGGTCATATTGTGGCGAGGTTAGCCAAGATAGACCGATTTTCCATGACTACGAGAAAAAGTGATAGATCATCTGAGTGCTTTTCGTTCCAAAAACAATGGCAAGATAATTATTAATTTATAGCGAAGTAATTGATTTTTTGCATTCTTTATATTGTGGATCTTTTAATTTGTAATTTTACGCTTTTAATCGCTTAAGTGATCAGTTTTTATATTTCTTTGTTTGTTCCCACATTTGTTGGGTCAAATTATATGATCTATTAATATGATTAAGAGTGCAGAATATCTGTATCTTTCATACTCCCACGCAATCTTTCATCTTAAAATAATCAAACGTCAACAAACCATGCGATTATACTTACGATAAATTCTTTCTCCTTTGCTATTTTTCGTGAATTCTGTTATACATATTCTCCAGAGTCCACTGTATGATTCATATAAGTATTTTCCAGTTTTATTCACATATAGTCCATTTGGAATCTCGAATGTAAGCCAATGATTTGTTCCTAATGCCACAACTTGAATCAAAAAAGCAAATACTGTCCCCGCGGTAGTCCCAAGTAAAAGTTTCTTTTCCCATTCTAATTGAGCGGCCATGATTTTTTTGTGAAGAATCCTGGACGTCGCGAACTGATTTGTGACTGTGTTGCAGAAATGATAATGCACGCGAAATGTAAATTGAATGCACGTGTGTTTGTCTACAGCCAGTAACACTACATAGCTAGCTGTGTCTATACACAATACAATTATTCACAGAAATGAACCATAATTAACACATGCACTGTCTATTGTCATTAATTATTCAGTGATTGGTATAACGATTAATAAGCACAATTAATCCCCTGGGAATTTTTTTTTAACATTGTATTTGTAGAAAATAAGCACTATAATACATTCTGATTGAATAGTTACACGTGTTAAATTATACACTGATAGTGGAATATTTTATCTCAGAATATTCATACGGTTCACTCAGATTTGTCCTACTACCATGCCTGTCTATTGTTTTCTAAATCATCGAAAGTTTTGCAGCGCTGTTCTCTTCGATTCGATAACGTATTATCTTCGCATGTTTTTGGACAGTAGTTACACTACTACATTAGTATCGAGAGATTTGATTGAAAACAAACATTGTTTGGCTTTATTTCAAATTGTACATTTCACAGCAGCTGATTTTTATCAATGCAAACAAAGTAATCTTATGGTATGTTGATTCCAAACTATCTAATGATGAGTTGCTGTAATATATTCTGTGTTAAGCCGTCATCAGATCATGATTATTAAATAGCAGAAATTAAGCCATCAAATTATATTTTATCCAATGATAAAAGTTACACTGAATCCATTACAAAAATAAAAAAGGCCTTTAACCCTCTTAACGGTATAATGTTGCTTTTGTAACAAAGCACTGAAATATGATGCTAAGAAAATCGATATCGTACTCCTGAATGTCGTAAAAATAGCACATAGGATATTTTTTGAAAACAGTAATCATATTTGGTATTAAAAATTTATGCAAACACGATATAAAAGCAGATAAAACATCAAAATTGATCTCCTGTTCGTCTAATCATATATGTTAAAAAAGTCAATAATCACATTTAAAAAGTTATGGTGTATTTGTTAAACAATTAAAATGAGACAGCTGGCGCGTAAACAGAACAACGATATGATAGTTTTTGAATCGAAAAAGATCACGCTTGCTGTTGGTTTTTCTATCGGAATGATTTTGAAAAAAGAGGATATGTTTTATGATACTTTCTACGGAAGGACCTCCCAAAAATATAATTTTATTTTAAGGGAACTAATTAAACAAAATAGATCAACTTAAAACGGACTTTTTTGTATCATGTAAACGATCGACCAATCTGTGACACACTTCAAGCGCATTAGTAGTATTCAATTTAGTTTACTTTATCGTAGTGCATCTAGGGGTTAACTGAATTTGTGGTAAAGTTCATTACGTTACAGACCAGGGAACTACTATCACAAAATTCCCAAATTGAATTATTTTCCTTGTTGTGGAATTGATTGATTGAGTGATTGGTGTTTATCGCCACTTTAAACACTATTGTGCTTTTTCGTGGCGGTCAGTTTTTATTGGCGGAGGAAGCCGGAGTGCCCGGAGAGAACCACCGACCTTCGGTAGGAAAACTGACAATCCTAGTCCTTGCCGTGGAATATTTAGGGAATGAATAGATGATATAGATCAGAACGTGATGTTAAAGAAAGTCATTTGATTGAGAAAAATAAATAATAAAACGTTTTCCAGCTGTATTTTTTTTATTATTATAGAAGTAAGCCTAGGATGACGTCAAAATGTTTAAGGGCATACAATACACTTTTGATCTCACGGTGAATGTTTGACGAAAGTTTGCATGCAAGCTATTTTTCACCTGGTCAATTCAAATATGTAATAAAAAATATACCTTCATGTGCTACTTTTAGTGATAAACAAGGGCGAAATTTACTAGAAATTTCGGTTTCTTGGACATTTCTATCCCTTGGAAAGACATACTTTACTTTTTTGTTTCAAAAGATAAAAGCAAGCGGATTTTTGTAAAATCATCTGGAATATCTTCTCTACATAAGTGTACTTTGGATTTGTGTAACAATTCTTTGGAAATTATTCATTTTATCACATTTTCATGATTTAAGTCAGAGAACGGCATTTTTTGCTGTATATTTATTTAATTTGAAAAAAAAAAATCATCGGTGATTTGTTCATAAAAATTGGCACAAATAATCTTCATACATGAAAAAAGCCAAATCATTTTTAAAAAAGAGGGGTCCATGAACTCGTTTTCAAGTTAAATCAGTCTGAATGATAAAAATCAGTCAAAAATGCATCTTTTCCCGATATGTCACAGTTTGACGTCGTGAAAAATAACATTTTACGTTAAGGGCATACGATACAGTTACAGGGGAGGTAATGACGTTGCTAACGTAAATTGTTATTTTCGCGACGTCAAACTGTGACTTATCGGGAAAAGATGCAGTTTTCGACTGGTTTTTATCATTCAAACTGATTTAACTTGAAAACGAGTTCATGGACCCCTCTTTTTTAAAATGACATTTGGTTTGATTACGTATGAAGATTAAGTTTGCCAATTTTCATGAAAAAGTCAATAGTGCAATTTTTTTAAATTTGATAAATATACAGCAATAAATGACGTTTTTTTTTCTACAATCATGATCATTTGATTAATATGAGTTATTTATAAAAATGGAATGTACACATTTATAGAACATTTATATAAAACAGAAATTACAAATAATTTAACAAAAAACAGCTTGTGTTTATCTTTTAAAACAAAAAAGTTATGTATTTCTATCGAAAAGAAAAAAAACGTCCACAAATCCGAATTTTGAGGAAATATCTGAAATTTCAACCTCAATTTACTCAAAAAGTAGCACATGATGGTATATTTTTTATTACATATTTGATTTAATCAGGTAAAAAATAGCCTATATGCAAATTTTCATCAAAATTTCAGTATGGGATCAAAACTGTATCGTATGCCCTTAACAACGTCATCAACTCCCCTGTAACTGTATTGTTTGCCCTTAATAAATGAAATAGGTTAGAATTTTAAAATATTAAATCTATATATAGCCATTCATGATCGCAGGTACTTCAACAGGAAAAGACATCCTGCTATGTAAAAAAAACTCGAAAATTGCAAGTTTTATTGGAAATTCCAAAATACAGAGAAATTACTTCTATAGGGAGAGCAAATGCAATATGCATAAACTTAGTGAGGTAATACAAAATAGATATTTATAATAAAACAGGGATCAGTTCTTTTTTTCATTTCAAGCAGAAATGTTCACCCGAAAAAAATTAGTACATGAACCAATTAAAAAAAAAAACTATGCAGTCTTTATTGGTTTTATTCCCTTATTAATAATGGACCACAAGGAGAAGACTGTCGATTTGAGAGGCATATGAATCGAGTTTCTGGTGATTATAATGTTAAGGAAGTAATTGAATCAATGCTTGCATGTACAATAAAACAAAGTCCTATGTGCACGTTCTTTAAATTTATTGCGAATCCATAAATGATTACGTATAATCGACAATCACATTTGTTTGAAGATTGTTGGTCTAAAATTTTAGGTGCTAATTACTTTTCGGGTTTTGGTGCCAAGGTTAACCGATCACAACCTTGATAAACAGTCAACACAGAATCATGGAGCACGTGAAGCATTCATGAGATGATAAAGCGGTGTTTTTTCTCTTCATATTTTCCATGCGTTCCCAGTTGTTTATTAAACTTAGCCAGAACAAATGTTTAAGGATTTGGTGTAATACAAATTTTCTTAAAGAATAAACAAACACGCTGCATAAGGAAAAGCAGTTGGCGAATTTGAGTACGGGAAGATAATGATTTATTAGCAGTGCATTTCTAGAGATTTTGATCAAATAAAGGATTTTCTTTTTAAAAAAAGTCTTGTATGTATACGTATTATAGTAAAATTTAGCCATTCAAGTATACAAAACATCCCCTTCTTTCCTTCCTTCATTTGAAAAATTATATCACTTTAAAATTAGAAAATCATGTTAATTTGCTATTACTTGTAAATGTCACTATAAGGACAGTCAGAAAAATATTTGAATGTACTTATTTACAATGTTGGTGGATGAAATTTTGAACGCTTTGTTGCCACTTGCTAGCATCTTATATAGTTTATCGCATCAAACACTGATATGCATATGAACTTTTTATTTTTAAAGAGCTTCAACTGTCATTTTTTATATGTTTGTCCTCGATTTCCATGGTGATACGTAACAGTGATATTACCATAGAAACAAACTATGTTTTCCCTAATTGTTTCGAAAATCAATTAATAATTTTGATATCATACTTTAAATGTGATTCTTTATTTCTCCCTTGCAGGATTAGTTGATGTAATTCATTCGTTTGCTTTCTAACGACTCAAGTTATCATTATTCCTTTTCTTTGTAACGACTCAAGTTATCATTATTCCTTTTCTTTGTAACAGTTTTTTTTTAAATGTGAATCGATCCTGCTGTGACAAATCATCAACTTATACGTTATAAAAGTTCATGTGAGGGTTAACTTAAGAATCCAATTTGATATCTAGACATAGAATTTTTTCCCGTGGCATTTCTTCAATAGAAATATCATCACTGAATCTGTATTTGTTTCACTGATAGAGACAAAAACCGTTATTGTCTTAAAAATAAAAAAAAAAAAAAAACAGTTCACAAATTTGGCGCGTTAGAACGCTTTTCTATATTCAATTTCATCAAGAACGCTCAAAACCCCAAAAATTTTTGAAATGGATGTGTAAAAACCTGACTTCTTGAAGAGGAGCTGTCTAGCCCAAAGGGATCAATGTTACTTGACGATGGATTGTCTAGTCGTCTGTACGGAATCCATATCATACTTTCTGGAACTTTCTTTTATATAATAAAAATAAGAAAATGTGGCATGATTGTCAAAGAGATTCGTCACCAGAGACCAAATGACGTATAGAATTAGGCACCTATAGGTTACCGGCTTTCAATAAGGAGCAAAGCCCATACCGCACAGCAAGTTATAAAAGGCCCACAAATGACAAATGTGAAACATTCAAACGAGAAAACTAACGGCCTAATTTATGTACAAAATAATGAACGAAAAACAAATATGACACACAGCAACAAACGACAACCAATAGGGAACGAAAAATCGTCCCTTTTGTCGTAAATTTTAGTGTAGAGTTACCCGTGTAAAACTTAA